AAATGTACAAATATGCTTGACACGATGTATGTATGGATTGTGATAAGAGTTGTATGAGCCCCCAGTAAAATTATTAAAATTTTTAAAGTGACCCAAAAAATGAACATTGGTGTTTTTTGGGTACCCCCTTATATACCAGTTGTACAGACTCCAGGCAATTTGTGCCAGATATTCAGACTTTGCAAAAGATGTGAGGTTTTCATTTTATTTGAAATATCATGACCTTGTTGGCAACTAATTAAATATCAATTATAATACTGCAATCCAAATACACATGCGGCTGAATGTAATGGGTGGGCCACGCATTGGCTGCCTTTGCTATGAAGTGTAGTGTTCAGCAGACCTAGTTCCTGTAGGCCACGAGCTCTCAAGGGAACGCTCTTCTATAAAAGCCTATCCTATTAAAAGCTGATCACCATTAACTCCAGAATTATCTAATGCATTGCTGCATTTGGGCTTCATAAGTTCATCTCTCCTAAAACAAGGTTCTAAGCGGCCTCTTTTAGTGATTTAAAGCAGCAGCTCATGCAGGGCACCCTGCTGGCTTAGCCCTTGAATAGGGATTAGAAGGCAGTTTCATGTCACAGCCCCCTCTCTGTGAGTAGCCATGGCCTGCTGATGCATGGCAGTGGTGGCTGGCCATGACTGCTGAAGTGGAGTGAGCCTGGGCCAGGCACACTCTTCACCACTGGTGCCTTCTCAGGCCTTTGATGCAGCCCGAGTTTCTATAAAACTATTTCCCAAACCTGCAAAATGATAGTTCTAAATCCTACAGTGTACTGCAAATCCCGTTTAGTAACAGAGATTCAAAGATACAGAATGCAAATCCTGAGAATCTATTTTAACTGAAGGTGGCCGCATTTATGCCAGGGGAGGTATGTGCTCCAGAGGAGTTTCTTCTTTGGTTTGTGTTTCCTAAGTAGACCTTCTTCCAAGGTCTCTCTGGATGAACTAGAGTCTCCCAGCATTTGGTTTATAGCTGAGCGAGTTAGCCGCTTATACCACCCGGACTCGGAGCCGCCCTGACGGTCTTCCTTTCTGCAACCCGGCTGTATTTACCTTTGCCTCTGTTGCTTTCTCTTTTGTCGGCTGCTCGCTTGATCTGGAAGCTGCTTTTTCACTATGAGCATGCTCGCTTCCTTTATCTGAGGCATGCTTGGGCAAGCTCTTGGGCTGAAAGAACAGACATACACAAAGACTGTGATAGTTTCAAACCTAACATTAGTGCTTCATCTACGGAATAGAAACAATTTATAGCCATTATCGTTTTATTGCTTGAATTAGTGTGACCTAAAAATGTTTTTATATGATTTTAGTTTAGGTACAAAATTTTTAAATAGTGCAAATGCCCTTAAATTCCTCAACAAATACATTACTTTCAAAGTTGGAGGCCTAAGTTGAAAACCTGAATAATGCCACACGATGGCGCCATGCTAGCCACCGTGTGTGGGGCTACGTGTTCAGGACCCGGGCAAAGGTCTTCACCTTAAAATAACAAGTCGTCCTTTACCTCTCTGTGTTCCTTCTCCTT